TGCAAAAGTCTCTACCTGTTACAGCATTAACTAAAGTCTAAAATCTTATCTAGATAATTTTTAGCTCAAAAGTCCCAAATCTAAATCATCTAAATAAGGTATGGGTATGATCCATCCTTGGGCATAATCCATCTCTATCTCTGGACCTGTATAACTAGAAAACAAGCTATTGTTCCCAAAATACAATGGTTGAGCTGCCATAGTATAACTATTATAAACATTGACATTTCCAAAGGGAGAAATGTAAGGAAAAAAGTGATCATTTCCAAAATTTCAAAATCCAGCAGAACAAATTCCATTAAGTTTCAAAGCCTGGTAATAACCCTCTCATGGCTCAAGATCTCTGCATTCTTGGCTAAGGGATCTGCCTTCAGGGCCCATGGTTCAGGCCTCTATCTTGCTCTCAGGTCTCAGTCCTCTTCACCTGTACCCATGACTTGAGCCATTGAGCTCAAGGCTCCAGTCACTGGTCAAGGTCTCTGATCCTGGAGTTACCCTTCTTTTTGCTTGAAGGGTATTTAATCCAGGATAATCTCCTTATGATAAAACTCTTAATTTAATCACACCTGCAAATATCCTTTTTCCAAATAAGGCAACATTTACAGGTTTAAGAGGTTGGGATTTGATATCTTGGGGAGCTTACCACAAATATCAAAACCAATATCTAAACAACAAAACATTTTTAAAAATGCCTGGAAGTGGCTAAAAATTGTGTTGGACTGGTAATTGTGTTTGAAATGTGGAAGTAGGGGGAGGTAGCAGTGAAATAGGAGAAAGTCTCTAGCCTGCAATAGATACTAGATATAGAATAGGTATGCTATAGTCTGAATTGTGTCTTCCCAAAATTCATATGTTGAAACTTAATCACTGATATGATAGTATTAAGAGGTGGAGACCTTAGGAGGTGAATAGGCCATGAAGACCTATAGGATGGGCATAGTACCTTTATAAAGGGCTTGGGAGACAAAGTTCAGCCCCATTTTGGGCCCTCACCAGACACTGAACATGCAAGTGCCTTGATTTTAGACTTCCCAGTCTCTAGAACTGTGAGAAATAAATCTTCATTATTTAAAAATTACTCAATTTCAAGTATTTTGTTACAACAGCCGGAAAGAACAAAGACAAGGTAGGAGGAAAGATTTTAACTTTGGCCTCTGCTTCATTGCATAGGTCTGAAGGAGCCCCTCCTCCAAACACAGATGCCATTAATCATGGAATAATATTGGGAAAGCAGGAAAGTTGTGGTTGATTGAGGCAGTATGATTTGAGCCTGTGGCAACAACCACCTGAAAACACTTGGATGGAAGAGAACTGGTCCTTCTAAAAGTTTATTATTTTAACAGTACATAAAGAATGAACTAGGCTGGGTGTGGTGGCTCACGCCTGTAATCCCAGCACTCTGGGAGGCCAAGACAGGAGGATACCTTGAGGTCAGGAGGTCAAGACCAGTCTGAGCTAAAGCAAGACCCATCTCTACTAAAAATAGAAAAAATTAGCTGGGCATGGTGGTACACACCTCTAGTCCCAGCTACTTGGGAGGCTGAGACAGGAGTATTGTTTGAGCCCAGGATTTTGAGGTTGCTGTGAGCTAGGCTGACACCAAGACACTCTAGCCCTGGTGACAGAGTGAGATTCTGTCTCAAAACAAACAAACAAACAAAAAACAATGAACTAGCAAGTATCACAGTATTATAAAAAAGCAAGTATCACAGTAAATCACTCATAGGATAGATAGGGTAGATATTTTTTTTAATTAAAAAATATATACACATGTATATATTCTACATATATACTTGGTAGACACATAAAATACATTTCATATTATAAATGAGGGTTAAAAACTGAAAGTCATTGCACTGAATAGTGCAGTGTTAACCTCAAAAGACTTCTCAATGTAATGAAAAGATAAGCCATAGACTGGGGGAAAATAGTTTTGAAAGACATATCTGATAAAGAACTGTTATCCACAATACAAAGAATTATTAAGAACTCAAACATAACATAAAACAAACATCTTGATCTAAAAATGGGTCAAAGAGCACAATTCACAATTGCAAAGATCTGGAATCAACCCAAGTGCCTATCAGTCCATGAATGGATTGACAAAATGTGGTATATGTATACCATGGAGTACTACTCAGCCATAAAAAGGATGAATTAATGCCTTTTGCAGCAACTTGGAAGGATTCTGAATCATTATCCCAAGCAAAGTATCTCAAGAATGGAAAAATTAACACCACATGTACTATTTAATAAATTGGAACTACCCAATGGGCACAGAAGTACACAGATTGGAAGTAAAAGTCATTGGAAATCAAGCAGAGGGAAGAAGGGAAGAGAGGAGGGGCAAAAACCCACCTAATGGGCACAATGAACATTATTTCGGTGATGGGCACATTTATAGTCCTGACTCAAGCCATGTAACAAAAACATTTGTACCCTCTTAATATTTTGAAATAAAATAAATAAACAAATAAAAATGATCCAAAGACCTAAACCAGTATCTTACCAAAGAAGACACAGAGATAGGAAAAAAGCCTATGAAAAGATACTCCATATCATTTGTCCTCAGGAAAATGCAAATTAAAACAACAATGAGATAACCACTACACACCTATTATTAATAGAATGGCCAAAATCCAGAACACTGGCAACACTAAATAGTGGTGAAGATGTGAAACCATAGGAATTTTCACTCATTGCTGGTGGGAAGGCAAAATGGTACAGCCACTTCGGAAGATAGTTTTGCAGTTTTTTACAAAACTAAACATACTCTTACCATACAATCCAGCAATTGCACTTCTGGATATTTATCCAAAGGAGTTGAAAACTTATGTCCACACAAAATCTGCACACAAATGTTTATGTCAACTTTATTCATAATTGCCAGAATTTGGAAGCAACAAGATGTCATCCAAGAGATGAATGGATAAAGAAACTGTGACACATGCAGACAATGCAATATTATTCAGTGCTAAAAAGAAATGAGCTATCAAGCCATGAAAAGACATGGAGGAAACTTAAATGCATATTATTAAGTGAAAGAAGCCAATCTGAAAAGGCTACATACTGTATGATTCCAACTATATGATATTCTGGAAAAGGTAAAACTATGGAGACAATAAAAAGATCAGTGGTTGCCATGGGTTTGGGGAGAGAGGAATGAATGGGTGGAGTACAGAGGAATTCTAGGGCAGTGAAACTATTCTGTATGATACAACAATGGTGAATATATATGTATTTGTTCAAATCTATAGAATGTACAACACCAAGAGTGAATTCTAATGTAAACTATGGACATGGGGTGATAATACTGTGTCAAGGCAAGTTCATCAATTGTAACAAATGTACCACTCTGGTGGGAGATGTTGACAATAGGGGAGGATGTGCATGTGGTGGGGTAAGGGGTCTATGGGAACTCTCTGCTTTCCTCTCATTTTTTCTGTGAGCCTAAAACTGCTCTAGAAAGTGAATTCTTTTGAAAAGTCAGTTGCCTATAAAATGTCATAAAGTATAGCAGATTTAACTATTTTTTTTTGAAATCTTAACAAAAAATGAAAAAAAGAGTAGGGCCTTCCAAAATCATGCTGCTCAGGCTCTTCCCTGTAGAAAATAAATCTTTTAGAACAAAAGGTTTCCAAAGTCTAAGTCTGTCTAGTGAAGACACTCCATGGGAAGGTGTGTTGCTTCTGCGAGAGGCCATTATTTGTCATGGGCACTGCTGTTCTCCCTTCTCCTAGTATCTAGCCTGGGACCCGAAACCATTCTGTGCAAGAGTTGCAGCTATGGAAATACTCAGAGCTGGCAGGGATCAGGGATCTTTCATGGAGCATTTAATCAAAGAGCCAAGACCCAAGATGAAGACTCTCAAGAGTGTGTGTGTGGAGGGGTACACCCCCCTCAGAACAGAGAAGACCACACAGAATCCCCTTGACTCCCAATATATGCATGTAAATCATGGGAGATCCCAGGCTGGGCTATCAGGCTAAAATCACTCTTTATTGCCAATTTGTGGGTCTCAAAAAGGGGAGGTTCTTAAGTTGAGGTAAATGGACTCAGCTCTGCAGAGGGAGGAGGCCAACTGTTTGCGGAGTCAAGGTGATGAGTCCGAGGGAGGACTAAACAGAACCTCCACCACAGAAGAGACTGGGCCCTAGGCCCTTTCTTCCCCAGCTGTTAACCTTAGAAGGCCTTAGGGGCATCATGACAGAGGTGGCAGACCCTGACTCCCACCAGACCCTGACTACCACTCAAAGAGTGGAGAGGCTTTCAGGGAAGTGAGGGTCTTGGTCCAAGGGGGCAGGACTCAGGTCAGCAAAGGCAGGAGTCCTAGGCCCTGCTTCAAGGTGAGGACCCTTACTGAGGGCTGATTTAACCTCCGATCATGGGGGGGGGGCATAGTAAATGAGATCCTGTTGTCAGCCTAGGAAGGTCCCAGGCAGGGCTGGGTCCCAAGAAAAGGCGCCACCACACACAACCTCCACAGTCCTGTAGAGGGCGCCTCAGGGAGATGGGGTCTTGGAACTCAGGGAGTGCAGGTCCTATCTGGAGAAAATATGAACACTTTGAAAAGAACTGATGATAATCCCCAACCCAGAACTGAGAGAATCCCACAGAAACCTACCCTGCCCCTGCTGTCAATTCCGGTAACCCCTTGTACAGGCCTGTCAGGCTGACATCCCCCCTTCCCGCAGTTTGGTGGTCTTAGAGAGTTAAGTGTGGTCTCAGTCTATAAAGAGAGGGGCTCACACAGCACCATAAATCAAGGCAAAGGTGCTGAGCTAAGACCCAGCCTACCCCTGTTGTCAACCCTGAGCTACCCAAGGCAGAGTGTCCGGATGTGGTGTATCTGACTTCCATTTTGGCAGACTCAGAGAGGGGAGGCTTCCGCGAAGGGCGCTTGACTTACGTCAGCAGAAGGAGGAATCCCACACCCAATCAGGCTTCAGAGTGAGGACCCGGAAGGAGGAGTAAAGGGACCTCCCACCACACAGAGAAGAGCCCCTTCTGTTGCCACCCTGCCCCTGCTGCCGGCTCTGGGCAGCCCCAGACAGCGTTCCCTGAGGTAGTGTATCCGGACTTCCATCTTTGGAGTCTGAGGAAGGTGCGGCTTCCTCTGAGGTGCCCTGTGAGATATTAAGGTAAGGACCCTAAAGAAAGACAGTGGAAATATGATAAAATAAAAGGGGGAAAAATAAAGAAAGACAGCAGAGACCTCTCACTACAGAGAGAGGGGGCCTCAGCTCCCCGCCCCTGCCGTAACTCCTGGGATGCCCTGGGGAGGGTCGCCTGATGCGGTGTATCTGGAACTCCTTTGGAGACTGAGGCTTTATTTGAGGAGTATAGATTGAAGTCAGTAGAGGGGAGAGTACCAGGCAGTGCTAGACGTCAAGGTGAGAACCCGTATAGAGGCCTGAGAGGACCTCCCAGCAGACAGATGGGAGCCCATTGAAACCCTCTCCTGTCAGCCCTGAGAGGCCCGGGGCAGGGTAGTCAAGTAGAGCCACCTTACCCAAACCTCCTCACTTCCTTGTTGCCGGTCTCAGAGAAAGAGCGACTGTGGGCGGCTTCAGGGCCATATTCTCTGTTCAGCAGAAGAGAGGCAGTGCAGGTCCTGTTAGGAGTAAATATAATGAGCTTGCATAGGACTGAGGGTACCCCACTAAGAAACCCTAGGGAATCTCCACAGAAATTCACCCTGCATTTCTGCTGTCAGCCCTGGAGATTTCAGGAAATGCTGTCCGTACTAAGCCTCCTCTTTCTCTTGTATCATATCCAGATAGGGAGTTTTAGGGATGTGAGGACCTTGGTCCGAAGTGCCAGGTCTCTGCTCATCAGAGGAAGGAGCCCCAAGCCTTGCCGGGAATAAAGGCATGGGCCCTTAAGTAGGGCTGAGAGGACCTCCCACCACAGATAGAAAGGGAGCCACAGAAACCTGCCCCTTCTCTGAAAGGCCCAAGGCTTGGCTATAAGGCAGAGATGCCCCTCCGCCCGCCTCACATTTTTGTCTGGCTTCTCTAGGAGATAGAGGCCTTGGTATAAGGGAAGCATCCTCAGGCCAGCAAAAACTATGGGTCACAAACCATGTAGGGTATAAATATACCCCCAATGCAAAACCCATAGGGAGCTCCATAGGTATCTGCCCTGACCCTGCTGTGAGCCCTGATAGATATTATTTAGTCCTGTCAGGCTGAGGCCCTGCTTCACTCCCTTCTTGGTGGTCTCAGTGAGTTAAAGTCGTAGGTCTGATGGGTGCAGCCTCAAGCCAACAGAAGGAGTAGCCCCAGTCCTGACAGGAGTCACGGTAAGGAATCTGAGAACAGCCCTAGAGGATCTCCAACTACAAATAGAAGGGCTCCGGCTCTGTCCAGTTCCTGCTGCCAGCCCTGGGAGCCCCTGAGTAGGACTGTTAGGCATAGGCACCTCCCCTCTAACCTCTTCAACTTCCCTCACTTCCTTGTCTGGCATGTCTGGTAAATGGAAATCTTGGCTTGAGGAAGGCATCCTCAGGACAGTAAAAGGGAAAGAATGCTGGCCCTGTCAGGAGTAAATGTGAATACCTTTGGAAAGATTGAGGGTAACTCTTACTCCAAACAAAGGAGTCCCCAAAGAAACTTGTCCCACCTCTACTGTCAGCCCTGACAGCCCCCAGGAAGATCTATCTGAGTTTTCCCTCATTTCCAACTGGCCTGAGAGTCTCAGGGAGGTGAAGGCCTTTGTCTGAGAGGGCCAGCCCTTAGGCCACAGAAGCCCTGCTGAGCATGGAGGTGAGGACCCTGAGGGATAACTGAGTGTGCCCACCACCCAAGGACATACTGTGTCCAGCCCCTGCTATAAGCACTAGGAGATCCTGGGCAGAGGTGGCTATATGTGGTACTTCCTCACTTTTGTCTCATTGGTCTCACGGAGGTGAAGACCTTGGTCTAAGGGGGCAACTTCATGTCAGCAGAGGTAGCTACATCAGGTCAGCCCAGGGAAAAGACCCAGCCTCTGCCAGGAGTCATGCTGAAGACCCTGACTGAGGTTTGAGGGAACCCCCTCTCTACCCTTGAATAGTTGGGGCCCCTGCCCTGTACTACCCCTGCCCTGGGAGGCCTTGGTGTATGATGTCTAACTGTGGTGCCCCCTTATTCCCACCTAGTGGTCTCAGCAGACTGGACTCAGTTCAACACAGGGAGAAGTCTCAGGCCCTGCCAGGAGTCAATTTGAGGGTGGAGGGTACCCCCTACACAAGAAAAGATGGGCCTAGCCCATCCCTGCCCTGCTGTTTGCCATGATTGGACCCAGAGGAGGATCTATTTCAGAACTGTGGGGTCCTCACAGAGTCCTTGCCCACCTGTCAGCCCTGGGGGGACTGGGGCTGTACTTGTAGTCTGCAGCTTGAGAGGCTCTCTCAATTCCTCTTACCGGGGCTCCAGGAATTGGAGTTGAGGGCCTTGGTCTGGGCCATATCTCCTGAGGTCACAGAGCAGAAGAGGCTCAGGCAGTGCCAGGAGTCAAGGTGAGGTACACACCTTAAATGTGTACCAAGGGCCCTAGCCCCCAGAACAGAGGGAACCCCACAGCATCCAGCCACACCTACCGTACTGTCATCCATAGAAGTCTCATGTTCTGTTGGCTGGCTGCACCCTGAGGAGCTTTTTCACATCCTCATACAGGTTGCTAGGGGACAGGCTGACGAGGAGAACAGATCTGTGAGGCCCTAGAGAACTAATGGAGGACCTGTTGAGACAGACTTTGTCAGAACTAAGAAAGTTAACTTTCTCACACTCTTCCTCTCTCTCTCAGTCCAGTTGGCTCCATCACTCATCTCCTGCTCACACTCCTGCTTGCTTCTTCAGCGCAGATCATGATGCCTCTCAGCCAGAAGAGTCAGCCCGGCAAGAATGAGCAAGGCCTTCAGGCCCAAAAAGAGGCACAAGGCCTGGTGGGTGCACAAGTTCCTGCAGCTGAGAAGGTGAGCTCCACAGCCTCCTCCTCCTCTGCTCTGATCCCAAGCACCCTGGAAGCAGTGTCTGCTGTTGGAACACCAGATGCTCCCAAGAGTCCTCAGAAAACCTGCTCCTCCTCCACTACTATGAAAGCCACTCCATGGAGCCAACCTGAAGAGGGTTCCAGCAGCCAGGAAAAGAATGATCCAAGCACCTCACAGTTCCTGCCATATCCTGAGTGCTTGTTTAGTAACATGCTAGAGAAGAAGGTGGCTGAGTTGGTGAAGTTTCTGAGTGTCAAGTATACAACAAAGGAGCCTGTAACAGAGGCAGAAATGCTGAAGAATGTCATTAAAGAGTATAAAGACCACTTCCCTGGGATCTTCATGAAAGCCTGTGAATGCATGGAGATGGTCTTTGGCATTGAGGTGAAGAAAGTGGATCCCATCAGCCGCTCTTATGTGCTCACCAAAATGCTAGACCTCACCTATGATGGAAGGCTAAGTGATGACGAGGGCATACCTAAGACTGGCCTCCTGATTCTTATCCTGGGTGTGATCTTCATGGAGGGCAACCGTGCCCCTGAGGAGAAGATCTGGAAGGTGCTGAATATGATTGGGGTGTATGCTGAGGGGAAGGATTTCATCTATGGGGAGTGTAGGAAGCTCATCACCAAAGATCTGGTGCAGGAAAAATACCTGGAGTACCGGCAAGTGCCCAACAGTGATCCTCCAAGCTACGAATTCCTGTGGGGCCCAAGGGCTCATGCTGAAACCAGCAAGAAAAAAGTCCTGGAATTTTTCTCCAAGGTCAGTGGGAGTGAAGCCACTGCCTTCACATCCTTGTATAAGGAAGCTTTGAGAGATGAAGAAGAGAGAGCTCAGGCTAAAATTGCCAACAAGGCCAAGTTCAGCAGCTTCTGCCCTGAGTAAAGTCTAGGAGGGATTCTTTATTCTGTTTGAAGGGAGTAGCCAAGTTTTTAAGTAGTGGAAGGCTGATTGCAGATTTTATTGTTATTTTTTTCTTTTTGGTATTTTTCAAATGTTTATCTTAAAAAGTTTACTAGCTTCAGAATCTAGATTCATGAATGACATTGGGCACACATTTATTGCTGTGTATAAGGCTTAAGAATAAGAGTTTTGCTATTAAGTAAAACAAATTGGGGAAACTTCCATATTATTTTGTAATCTGGAACAAGATAACGTAGCGTTGGAGTTAAAATTTCCTTAGAAATGTGAAAGAGCCCAGTAATAAAACCAGTGAGATTAATAATTACAGGAACAACATAAGAGATGATTAATCCTAGGATTTCTGTATCTCCTTTAGTCTGTTGTTTTGTAAAACTAAAAGTTTATACCTTATTTTCTTGGCTTATCCTAGAATGTATAATAAATTAAATCTTATTAAATGAGATCTTCAGTTCACTGGCTCATTAATTCCCCAAACATTAATTGAACATCTGCCCTTTGGAAGACACTATGGTAGTGGGGATTCTAGGATAAGCAGGGAAGATGGTGAGATGTCCAGTAAGACCTAACAAGCAAGTGAAAAAAAAAAATGGAGCAAGGTAGTGGGACTCCAGGTGCGAGTAAGTGTAAATACCCTGAACCAAGGCAGTTTGGGGCTTTGGGAAGTTGCAGCTCCTTCTGCATGAATTCGTTTTAAATTAAGCTAGATGGTGGCAGGTCCCAGACTCTCAGACAGAGTGCCGTACAGGTAAGATAAAAACCTACAATGAAAAACTGCTTTTAGCAGTTCCTTTTGGATGGTGGATAAAGCAGAAAGAAATTTCCACCTGGACAGGCATAGAAGGTATCCTGTGCCCTTGTCTTAAAGTGCATGAACTAAATGCTCATACACATCTACAGGGATTTCCTGAAAAATAGGGCGATACTCCCTTGAAGTGGTTCCCAGAAGCCTCTATGCTGGCACTGTTTTCCCAGGCCTGGGTGAGCCATAGCCTACCCCATTGAAAGGATGTTTAATTAGATGGTCTTGATTGTAATTTGTCCAACACTGAGCGAGGGCTAGATTTTGGGTGGGAGTAAAATAAGTGAAAACAATGGTTTGCATGGAAGAGAAGAAGGTAGGAGGGAGGGGGAAAGGAGTTAGTCTCTGACTTAAATCCTAGGACCTTTGAGTTGCATCCAGCTGAGGAAAACTCCTCCACATCTAAATAAAATAGTGTATCTACTAATAGGGAAAATTTTCTGAGTTTTATTTACAAAGTGGCACTTCTGGCCCATTTGGTGTGTCATGTCCTGGAGTGCTGCATATTCTCTGAGATGTCCTTGATCACACACACAAACACACACACACACACACACACACTATCTCAGAGAATGTAGTGTGTAGGGAAGAGTCGGGGGTCAAAATCATATTCAAAATTTTTGCCATTTAAAAAATATCCAATGTATGCCAGGCACTATGGCAGTTGCTTTACTCAGACTACATACATTCCAGCAGTCCTATGAGACAGGGTTTATCAAACCCATTTTATAGATGAACAACCTGAGGCTCATAACACTTGGCAAATTGCTCAAGATCATATGGCTAGTGAGCCCATACTGTCCCCACTTTTGCCAGCCTAAAGCAGGCCTTCTGTTTCTTAGTTCATTTCTCTTCTCAATACTCCATAATGTCTTTCATGTAACAAAAATTTTTGGCCAAGATACTTAAAAAAGCAGGCACAAAGAAGGGAAGGTAACATGAGAATCACACGTATCTAGGGGTTGTCTGTGGGCTTTATGAACCTAGGGTCCTCCTGCCTGAGCTTCAGGGTTGTTGAAAACGGACTCTGCCCAGATGCTGGCATTTTTGTCCCATTCCAGCATTTTTCTGTATTACATTGCCCTTCCTCTGGTGTTCCCTGTGTGCCTTTCTGCCCCATTCTGTAACCTCCCCTGCTGACCAGCTCGTCACTTACTCCTCCTCCGAATACTGTGCCCTGCTTCCATTGGAAAAGCCCAGAATCACCTATCCTTATCCTAACATAGAGTATTTCTACTCTCTGCAGAAGTTCTCTGGCTGTCCCATTCCACATTCTGGACCCCCTCTGATAGCCACAGCCCTTTCAATTTAAAAGGACACTTTGGAGGATGTTTTGATGCCTAGTCATCCCTCCCCCTCCCCCAAGGCCTCTTCAATGCACTCTCAAATTGTTTTTCAAATAGACTGGTGAGTAGAGTCTCATTTGCGCTTAGTCTACTGGTTGTTGGGAATATAACCCTAAAGTTAGAGAAAGAGATTTTGAAATCACTCTCATATTTGCAGTAAGACTTTAATAAAATGTATTATTTGAAACAGGCCACTTAACCTGCAGCTTCAAGGCCACATGTGGCCCTCCAGATCCCCAAGTGTGGTCCCTCAACTGAATCGAAACTTCAAGGAACATAAAGATTTGTTCTGTAAAATTTAGATTCAGTCAAAAGACCACACTCAAGGATCTAGAAGTCCACATGTGGCCCCAAGGCCACAGGTTCCCCACTGCTGAAAGCCAAAGCTTCCCTCATAAGCAATAGATAAGGAAAGACCAAATAAATTACTGTATATGCAAACATCTACAGGAGGCTGAATTCCTAAAACCCTAGAATCCTCCTAGGAGGTAAACATTAGTTCCTTGGTGTACATGCTAGCTCTGAGGAAAAAATAAAATGATAATTAACCATCCTTCCATTTGCTTTTGTCTATGTTTCTGCCCTTACAGGAAAATCCTGGTTTGCAATTAACCTTAATGGCACCTGTACAGGTATTCAGGAATGTTCAGTCATGTGGAGAGTAGCAGAGACTCATAACTTAAGATTTTGACCAAGCATCCTAAGGAAGGATAAATCTCAGCCTAGTAAGATTATAGAGGTTATTGCAAAAGGCACTTCAGAACTTCCTGCTAACATTACAGGATCCTTTGGGAACTAGATATGATCCTGTATTTGAAAGCACTTGTAAAAGTTGATGAATTTCAAGGTAAATTTAGTCTTTTCAGAAATTCTTTCAAGAAATGAAAAGGGTTGTTGTCATAACAAATTATAATTGCTGTTTGTTTACTGAGCACCTACTATGTGACAGCTTATGGGAGAGATTGGAAGTGCTCATCCACATGTTGTCTTCCTCTTTTTCCTGGACTGTTGAATGCAATCAGCTCCTGGGTGTACAGTATCTGGCCTGAAGGTCCATCCCCCAGGCCCTGGAGATCAAACCCTGACCATGCCAGGGCGAAGGACACTGGTCCCAGGAAGTCCTTCTCAAGGGTGCCCAAGATGATTCAATAGCCCTCCCTCTTGGGGAGTGTCCTACTCTACTGGAGTCTTCAGGCAAGCAGCATCAGGGAGGTCCAGCACGCAGGGAGCTCACAGTCTACGCAACCCTCAGTCTGCTGCAGGACCCCAAAGGAAAGGTCTGATCCCCATCCCTGTGGAAGCCTCCATATGGTGGCTCAATTTGCTGTGGGTGTGGGAGGGGAAGGGGTGAAAAAGAGTCTAGGTGGAAGAAAGTCTACTTCCTGGTCATCTCCAACCCTCTTTCCTGGAGGCAGCCTACCCACAATGATAGGGTTCTAGAGTCATGGAGATCACCTGGGAGCAAGTGGACCCCTGTGGCTCCTACAATATAGTATGGGCCTGAGTTGGGAAATGTCTGTGTGGGGACCAACAAGATGGAACCTGAGTGGTTGAGACTCCCTGGGAAGGGCAAAGTTGCCCAGTGGGTAGGGAATCAATATGGCACCTGCCATCCAGCTTGGGTCTGTGGAGCAGGAGATGCCTAGGGTGGGAGGGGTGAGAGCCTGATGCCCTGTCTGTAAGAAGCTCTCCCTTAACTGGCAGCAGCAGTCTCTGGCCCACTTCAGTAGCTCAGGAGCCCACTAACAGTCCGACATGTGAGGGAGGGGAATGTTAGCCAAACCACTTACCTTTCTGGCTGGTCTCCAAGCTTTTCTGGGCTTATTCCCCACCAATGCCTTTCTCCTTCCAGTTCTGCTCTGCAACCTCTTCCCATGGAGTCTCCTATAGGTTCAGGCACCTTTCCTTCAGGCACTCATCTGATCTATGTTTGTCTGTCTGTTTGTTTTTTCTCTTTCATCTAAAATTCCTCCTTCTTACAGAGATGCTCTGGCTGGTGGTATCTTTGATCTGCCATCTTTAATCTGTCTTCCTCTTCATGTTTCTCATTCTTAGAATTCTTCTTGGATCTGCAGGTGTACAGTTTGCATCAAATTTGGGACATTTTCATTTATCATTTCTTCAAATATTTTTTCTATCCCCCTTTGGGCCTCTTTTTCAGTCTCAAAATTCATGTATATTAGGCTATGTGAAGTTACCACATATGCTTACTGATGTTCTTTATTTGTTTCAGTCTTTTTTTTCCTCTCTGTGTTTCGTTTTAGAAAATGTCTATTGCTATAACTTCAAATAGAGTAATCTTTTCTTCTGCCATGTCTAATCTGCCATTAATCCAAACTAGTGTATTTTTAATTTAAATATTGTAATTTTCTTCTCTTGGAGTTCATTTGGGACTTTTATCATATCTCCAATATGTGTTTAATATGTACAACTTTCCCTCTTTTTCTTGAACATATGAAATACAGTTTTAATAACTATTTTAATATCCCTGCCTACTAACTCTATCATCTATGTCAGTTCCAATCAACTGATTTTCCTACTCAATATCAATGTTAATTTTATGCTTCTCTGAATGCCTGGCAATTTTGAATATATGTCAGACTTTGTGAATTTTACCTTGTTCAGTGCTCAATATATTTTTTAATTCTATAAATAAATATCCTTGAGCTTTTTCCTGGGAAAAAGTTACTTGAAACAGTATTATCCTTCATGTCTTGCTTTTAAACTTTGATAGGTAAGACCAGAGCAGTGTTTAGTCTATGGATAATATTGCTTCACTACTAAGGGAAGATCCTTCAGAGTACTCAATCTAAGGCCCCATGAATTATGAGGATTTCCACTCCGACTGATGGGAATAGGACATATTCCCAACTCTGAGTGAGCTCCAGAGTGAAAAATGTCAGTTCCCCCTCTGCACACTGTGGCCTCCATTATCTCCCTAGGCAGTGATTTAGGGCAATTGTAGGGCTCACCTCATTTGTTTTTCTTTTCTTTTTTTGGAATACAAACACTTCATTGATACATAATTGTGCATATTTTTGGGTTACATGTGATATTTTAGTACATTTTACAATGTGTAATGATCAAATCAGGGTATTTAGGATATCCATCATCTCAAGCATTTATCATTCTTTTGTGTTGGGAACACTTCAAATCTTCTTTTCTAGCTATCAAGTATTTTGAAGTGTACAATATATTATTGTTAATTAGTCACCCTACCATAG